CCCCCCCCCCCTTGTCATATTAAATGAACTTTCCCTAAACTGAATTTATTACTTTCCTTCTCTTTTATCGACAACCGTTTTTGATAGTAATTAAAAAGCAAAGCAATAGTATAATCCAAATTCAACTTCGATCGTCTGGAAGGATCCCGCCAGCAAGACTGACTGAAAAAAGAATGAATGAAATGAAAATACTTACAAACCTAAAATAAAACATTAACATGCTTTTAATTTCTAAAGAATATGTGTGCATTTATAGCCAATACGGTTAAGTGCTACAGGCGCTTATTGCTTAGTTTCTTGTCCCAGTAGTTTTGTTTGTCACAAACCAAAAACTTTGACCACTTCTCGAACGCACACTCGAATTTTAGCTTCTTCTAACATTATAGCGGAAGCAAATTTACTAGTAGAAGTTGTTATAATTTCATTTTACGAAAATAGCTAGTTATAAGATTTCACACTGTAGACTGCGGGAGCGCTTTTAGCAAGTCTTTCCATCGCAAATTTTGCCGCAGAAAAATATTTGTTTTGAAGCACTGTATTGTATTAGAAATGCCTGTAAAGCTCTTCCCTTTTCCAAATTTCAGTCTTCGCGTTTTATTATTACAAAGGAACGTTTTCGAGTTTATTCAAGGGTTCTATACTAATAACGTCAATAGGGAAGTTGGCTATGTAACAAAAAGGTCAATAATCAGTACCGTTAACCATGCATCATATCAAATGGAAGACAATAGCCCCACTAAATAAGTAAATTAAACGAGAACATGTTGAGCAAACAAGCGAGCTAATCAAGAGCGACAGTTTACGTCATGAGAGGTGAGAAGGCAATTAAATACAACCTTAAATACTTAATATACAACTTATTTTATAGTTATGCTAAAGACAACTGACTTTACGTATGTCCTTTTCTAACCAAACATCAAAGAATAAGGTTTATTTCGAAAAAATAATTGTAAGTACCACAAAAGTAGACCACTCATCGCCAACCTTCCCATTCCCGGTTTAAAAAGATCGACCCCTTGTTCAAGACGCTTATTATAAAAAGTGAAATTGTATACCCTGTAAAGACTCAAGACTTTGAAAATCATATCCTCTTCAGAGACACAATGAGGCCAAATAAGGGAGTACCCTTTTTGGTAGTCTGTTCAAACAATGACTACAGGCTTACTATTTAGTAAGAACTCAACCCCACAAAAATATCTTTTAGAGTCGTTTTAAAGGAAAATTGAAAATCCCTTGCCTTTTGTAACCAAGTCGGGTTGATATCATTATTTTATTGTAAAGGCTTTGTGTGCGTTAACTCAACTGATTATGTTTAATGTGTAATTTCCAAACGAAAGCATTACTCACGGCAACAAGTTGAAACTTTAAAACTGTCTTCCAGTACGATAGAAAATAAATCAGGAAAATCTCATTTTTTGTATGTCATCAAGCACTGAAAAATGTTAGATGGTTGCATTAACGTTGCCAAATACTAAATTATGTATTTGTCAATAGAATTCCAAAATACGGTTTTTCAAAAAATCACGACTGAGTTATACTAATAAATTTTGTTTAGAATATTGTCAAAAGGTTTCGATCTATTAAATGAAGGTTAAAAGCCTTTCTGGCAGTATTAGATCTCACTTTAGGGAGAATTAAGTTCTGTCCACTTTCCCTCGTGTTGTGGATAAATAAATAAATAAATAAACTTACATTTGTGATTATTTAGTGACGAAAACTTTAGAAGTGGCTGTATTCCAGGCTGAAGGCCCTTCAGCATAGTCAAAAATAACTAATATAATTTGTACCTATGCGTGTAATTCATGTTTCCATAGGTATGGAGTTGTTTTGTTAAGAAGTGAATTCATTACAAAAAAAATCTGCTGTAAAATCGTCGGCGTGTGATTTAGTCTAACTTCATGCTGAACTCGGAACAAAAACTAAACACAGGAAGTTAAAAATCCTAACAGTACTGGATAGTTTTTGGATGAAGAAATTTTCGGTCAATATTTAATGTTCATTTTCAGTCAGTCCAACAGTTATAATCAATTTATGGTAAACAAAAACTTGTTAAAACACGAACAAAGAATCAACAGAAATGAAGAAAAAGCTGTTGTTAAACTAACGTGGCCTATGTTACTTACGGCGAGCAACTCGTGCAGAAAAGAGTCCACAGGTAACAAATTTTCCAGCTTTTTTCAAGTCCTATGAGTCTGGTTTTTTTCGCTTGCTATCGGTAATTTGCGCTTCCTAAACGATACATAGTGATCGGCAATTGTTTTGAGACTTTTCGAGCAATGCGACTACCCAAACAGACTGGATAATCTCACTTTACTCGCAATGAATTCGCAAACTGGACTGCAGCTTAAAAATTTCTAGATAACTGTACCATGTACAATTTTCGAAGCCTATCTCATAAATCCCTTGCGATTTTTTATTAATAGTTTAATTTTTCACATTTCACTCCTCAGGTTAAGCTATTTTTCGTAGAAAAAGGGAAACCTAAAATTTTCGGATTCAAAAATGTTATGAAGAAAGGAATAAGTAAAATTCTCACCAGTTTGGTAATACGCTAAATTACATCTAAGATTTTCGGTAAAATAACCTGAGGCCCTTGTAATTTCAAAAAAGTTCAAGTTGCTCTAGGATGACCGAATAGATACATTTTAGATCATTTTATAGCTCCGGTTAGAAATGCATTTTTACGAGCTATCTAGAAGTACTCTGGATTATAGTCTAAAAAGTGTTTTCAATGTGTTTAAGAGGAAACCGTCGTTGTCTGCCCCTGAGAGTAAGTGCACGATAAATTGAAAACTGCGAGTTTTAGTAAAGGTTAAGGATTCAGTTAGATTTAGTTTTTATGAGGGTCTTCTTCAGGCAAACTTTAAACACGACACCTTAAGAAAACTAATGGTAGGATTTGTTTCACCATTTCATTGATTTTATTTCTGACTTTATTTTCCAACTTCATCTTTAGAAAAAACCCTAAAAAACCGACACGATGAGTACAGCTTGTAAAGTTTCTCTGGCTCTGTTGTGTTTATTTGCTGTTGCGTCATTCTTGGTCTTGACAGCTGTGGCGGGCAACAAAACCAAACAAACTTCGAGCAATATGGTGAGTCAATTAACTTTCTGCGCGAGACCATACCTTATACGACTGGAACAAATGATAGCGCAAAAACTTCAAGAACAGAACTTTGCATTTTGCGCAATCCAATAACTGCTAAAGAGTACTTTTCTGTGAGTATTTATCTAGTCTCCGTCGACGTGAAGGAATGTCTAAACAATGGATCACATCTTTCAAAAATAGTGAAAGTCGTGATAAGGTTGCAAAGCTCAGAGATAAATGTGTAACTGTTTCAATATCAATTCAGATAATTTAGAAAAAACTGTTAGAAGTAACAATTCATTATAAATGACGGCAACTAATACTTAACCCCGATATGGGATAGATTCCTTTCAAAAATAGAATGGTTTTCATGACTTTAACAAAGTCTCGCTCTTTATCAGCACAAATAATTTAGATAGAGGGTTTAGGGAGCCTCTTAAATCCATCAACAACAACTAACTTCCTTTCTCGATTAAATTGTATGTATTGACCGTATATCTAACGATGCGTTAATGTAAATTTTCTCCACAACACTTAACACAACGAGCCAACTAGAGTTGGGAAACGGGAAACGAAGGGGAAAAATATTTTAAGGTTATTTGCAGACATTATGAAATATTCGTCAGAACTTTTTCGGGGGTTTATTTTCCGAAAGGCTAGTGGGGGGAAAGGAAGGGGGTTAAATTGTTTAAATTGTGTAATAAAGGCACACTACTTTTCTTTCTTTTTCTTTTTTTTTTCCCTAGAGGTGGCTAAGCATCGCCGATGAGACTAAATCACTGAGGGAGTTATTTTGCTTAACGCACAATAACACGTTTTAAAGTAACTTTTTGTTTATCTCTCTAGCAATCTCCCCCATTCTGCTGGTTTGGTGGTATTCCAGGCATGCACGGGTTACCAGGCCGTGATGGACGTGATGGCCGAGAAGGAGCGAAAGGTGACCCGGGAAGCCCGGGAAAGACTGGGCCTCGGGGACCTTCTGGTGTAAATGGAAAAGATGGTGGTAAAGGAGAGCCTGGTGTACGGGGCCCACCAGGTCCAAAAGGAGAGCGTGGACAGAGTGGACATCCTGGGAACCCAGGTCTGATGCCTTACAAAAACTGGAAAGAGTGCGCATGGAATAAATTGAACGATAACAAAGACAACGGTTTAATAAAGGTAAATTTTCAAGATTTAAATCTTTTATTTGGTATAAAATGCTATCGTCATTTCTACTTTTATCTTACCTTACCTCCTATTATGACCAAATGATGTGATTATTCTACGTTTATCTCCCTCATATTTAGGACTGTGTCTTCATCAAGAATTTTTCTGACACAGCTCTTCACGTTGCCTGGACTGGTGCCCTTAGACTCCATAAGTGTACAGCCTGTTGCAAACGCTGGTACTTCACTTTCAATGGCGCAGAATGTTCAGCTCCCTTACCCATTGACGGTGTGGTGTACATGTGGCAGGGCAACACTCAAGGTCTTCACCGCGTTCGCCATATTGAGGGGCACTGTAACAACATTCACAAAGGAAAGGTGCGCGTGGGATTCTGGGTTGGTAACTGTCCAAGTGGATCGGGAAGCGCTGGTGACGCCTATACAGGCTATCAATCTGTGTCCCGGATCTTCATTGAAGAAGCTCCTAAGGCTCAGGCCTAAATGCCTAGGCAAAACATCCATTCTGCTAAGATAAACACCATCGCTTCCAGCCAGTTCCACAGATTACTAGGAGGTCGATTATTGTAATGGTAATGGAATGATAACATTAAAAGTTGCAGGATGCTTTGCAAAGTGCGTGTTTGTGTTTGTTTTTTTTTTTTGTTTTGTTTGTTTGGTTTTTTTCAATCCCCTCTGATTAGAAGTCTTTCGCAAATTAATAGTCCTTCACGTTTTTAATCCTTTAAATTACCACTCTTTGAATTCTCATTTGATAAGTGAAAAAGTCATCTTGATTTATAAACAAATTTCATAAGAGATTGAACCTAATATTGCATTGTCTAGAATAAATGTTGACGTGAGAAGTTCAAAGAAAAGTTATCCATTCACAATCGTAATTTTGCCTTGTTGCTGTTGCAAAATAAAAAGGGAATATATGCATATAGTTACAGTTTTTGAATGGAACCTTTAAATACGCCCGCAGTTGATATGTCGGGTTAAATTTTAAGATAAAAAAGAGATTATCTTTTTTCAAACGTTTGAAAAGGTCTATCTGTCGCTAGCTACTGCCACTTGATTCTCTTATGGTCACTTTTGTATTGCAAGAAATTATGATAACGACGGTATTCCCCAACTCAGGGAATCCTCGTTCCCAGGGAGAGAGAACCTGGGCACAAGGTTGATAGATCCCGTTTCTCGAAGTCCCAGAAACGTTACAGGCCAAAAGCCAAATATGGAAATCAATCTAAAGTAAAAAGCGCAGGTCCTAGCAAACAAACCGGTCCAAATGTTTTGAAAACTGACAGTTATCTGAGAGACTGTTGAAACCTATATCTTGACGTAATATATCAAACATGAGATGCAGTGTTTCATCACCAGATGAAACACCGAGAAGAGAGTTGAAAATACGACGCGCAGCGGAGTATTTTTGACGAACTTCGAGGTGTTTCATCTGGTGATGAAAACAAAATCATTTTTGAAGGAGAAATTAAGGATGCAAATACTAAGCAGTGTTTCATCCGATTTCCAAACACTCATTAAACATTAATTTCCTTTGTATTTTCTTAATGAATTATTAATGAGTTTGAGAAGGATAAGTAAAACAGCTTTCCGGCCCAGTAATTAACGGGACTTTCGAAAAACGGGTCCAAGAACCTATTTGAGCGCGATGCTCTTTCGAGTTAATACGCCATACTGATGCGTTTATGATTACCTGGAATGCAATGAATGACAAGACCAAAACTTGCAGTGGCTCTGATAGACCTTTTTAATCTTCGCTGAGAATGATTTCTCTCTCCTGTATCCTAAAATGCAACCCAGAATAGTCAACTGACTAGAATTTTACGTACACGGTATCTACAATGGAAAACCACCATAACTGGACAAATGTAGGCAGAAAGAAATTCGATGTGCTCCTATTAGCAATTTTGGATAGTCTTGCATTTTCACCATGACTACCGGTTAAGAGTCCTTTCTGACGCGTATGAGTCCTTTCTGACTCGTTCAACCAACCGTGATTGAATATATAAAATTTATTGAAACTATCGAGTGTCTGTTCACATGAGTCGTAAACTTTACAAACTCAGATTATTTCGACCAAACTCCCGAGTTATATTATTTTGATTTCAATTTTAAATACTAATGCAAAGGGTTCATATATCAAGAGTATTTTTCATTTTAATTTGAAACTTTTAAACAATATGCACTATATTTTAACTGCACCAGTTCCAAAGCCTTGTTTACAAGCGAACACTGAACAGGACAATTAAAGAGATTTCTCGTTAAAAGTATTGTTTTTCGTTTAGTGCGCCATTTTTCTTAAATACCTAGCCAAGATTTTCTTCAATAAAAAAAAAAGACTGCATTAAGTTGGAGTCTTTAGTTCCCTTATTTTTTTTTTAGAATATTTGGATTTTCTTTCGAATGTTTTCAACAAATATAAAATAGGGAGGTTCTGTATAAAATTTTAGGAAATTGGAAAATATTGGATTTGAGGATCTTAAAGAACTAAAACATGAAGTGAATAATTAGTGAACAAATACCAGATACTCAACCACCACAACAAGGTGCCTCTGAGCCCATTAGCAGACCAGCTGGTTTATGTTTTCTACCCTAAATTATTTATTTTCCAAATCAACATCATTTCCCAAAAAAAAAGACAACCAGGATGCCACCTTAAAGAAGCTAAGAGCTCTCCCTCAAGTCAAAAGAAAAGGTACCCTTTCTCCTCTCTTGCTCCTATATCTGTATCATGCTTCCTTTTTTAAAGAAGTCAACATCCTTTTGTAATGGGGTAGCCGGCATACCAGGTACACCTGGGATACCGGGTCGTGAAGGACGGGATGGCCGTGACGGGGCGAAAGGTGACCAAGGAATGCCAGGAAATACTGGACTTCAGGGTCCTCCTGGCCCTACTGGTGCAAACGGTGCTAAAGAGGAGCAAGGTGCCCGCAATCCACAGGGGAAGTCTGGATCAAGTGGAATGCTGGCTAACAGGAACTGGAGAGAGTGTGCTTGGAAAAACTTAGATGATAACAGGGATCACGGTCTGATAAAGGTAAGGTTAAATTGTATCCGCATCAAAATCCCACTTCGTTTGGTGAATATCACATGGAACACTAGATCATAAAAAAGGGAATTGGCCTCTAATGCTTTGTTTTACACTCTCACAAACAGAAGCATTCGGTGCACGATTTATTGGACCTTGACTTTGAGATAGGTAGCAAATAAAACACAACGAGTAGTAAAAGTTAAAATTATTCCCCGGCCAGTTTTACTTCTTTTAGGGCAGTACGTATTTGTTTTTCGCTCTGTTTATCTGCATTTGCAGTTTATTCAGAGTCCTTTTCTCCCAGTTTCTTCGCCGCCATAGCAACGACGTCCACTTTTCTGCAATTTAAGACCATTCACTCTGATCCGATACAGTCGATACGTGCATAACGGTCGTTTATCTTTGTTTCCAAACGACGAACTTGTCTCATTTTTAGCATCGTGTATTTCATGTCGCTGCGAAAACCAAAATAGTGCGGAATTGCGGCGGTTTAAATCAGAGTAGATTGGCAAGAATTTTACATTATCTTTTATTGTTTAGTGATAGATAACTGCCATACGATATTAGCAAAATTAAAAGCTTTTTTCAGCAAAGAACATTCCAAAATTCAGAGCAACAAATTCAAACAAATCGAATATTTCGTTCGAATCACTCCAACTTCATCAGCGTTACGTAACAGAAAGGTTGTTATGTATTTTTAGAAGAGGATTGTAAACTTTAGCCAGGAGCCGGTTCCATACTATAATCTAACCACTGCATGTTGCAAACGATGGCACTTCACTTTCAACGGCGCAGAGTGTTCAGCTCCCTTAGCCATTGACGGTATTGTGTAAAAGTGGCAAGGTAATACTCGCAATGTTCACCGTGTTCGCCGTATTGAGGGGCATTGTAACAACATTCACAAAGGAAGGGTACGCGTGGGATTCTGGGTTGGTAATTGTCAACATGGAGTCGCTAGTTATCAGTCAGTCTGTGTCCCGGATCTTCATTGAAGAAGTTCCTAAACCTCAAAGTTTGCCTTAAACTCTACATCTGTACGCTGTAATAGCGATATATTAAAATTCTGTCATGACTCCGAGGCTTTAGGGTCAAACTTGAAAATTTTTCACCACTCCATTGTACCAAACCAAATATCGAGAAATGAGCAGAAAACCTCGGAGTCATGTTAAAATTTCAATATATCAAACTTGGAGTATTGCCTTATAGACATGGTTTCAGATCCTTTTATTAGTTTTTCAGTGCATGTCTATGAAAATGGTACTCTACTAGGACTGAATTTTTGCTGTGGCTGATTCAAAATTACTGTGCTTCGTTTTCCTAAGAAAACAACACGAATTTCATACCTCCTTATTGTGCTACAAGAGGTTTGCCGTTTTTTGGCCCACATCCTATTGCCCTAGTGTTTTCTTCTTCTACTACCCCTTTTTTCATTTTGTTCTCAACAGACTAAAGCTTGCGGTAAGGATGCGACAAAGTTTTTCCTTATAATAATCTCCAGGTCATTTGATACAATCTGGTTCAATTTTTCGATGCGAAATTAGATTTAATGTAAGGCTCGTTACCAAGTTCAAAAGGTTGATTAACATGACTGTACTCGCTACTTGCAAAGATTAGCCTGAGAGAAAGGGTGACGAACAAAGCGAGCGGCGAGAGAACGAGCGCCGCCGCTCGTGCATATTTTTCACAGTATCCCCCTAATAGAAGAGCGTGCTAGCAGGCTGCAATGCGCGGCTTATAATATAACCTTTATTAATCTAATGCTGCGTCCAATTAAAAATTGCACCGCAACATTAGGCCATCATTGGCTAATAATTGGGCATCGTAAATTATCATTACTATCATGCAATATCGCAGTATTCGATAGGTGAACATTTGACCACAAAACACTACAAGAATATAAACTCGAATTAAAATGAATTAATCAAAGCTATATTTCTCCCGTTTGAAACAAACGGCGCTTTGACTATAGCGTTTAAAAAATACAAAAACAATATTTGAAGATTTCATTGCACTGCGAAAGCATTTTAACACCGGAACTCAGAGTGTTATTGGCAATGAGAACGATGATGATCAACTAAGATTTTATGGTGAAGTTCAGTAACTATGAGAAGGGAATGTAACACTCGGACGCCGAGTAACACTTGTTCAGTTCCAGAAAAGCGTGGAGAATGAACCAAATTAAATAGGGTAAGTAAAGCCTCGAAAGAAAATCTACAGCTCCCTAATTTTAACCAGGTCATAGGATCGACTGCCGTATACAGCTGTAATGGCGAGTGATGAATTGTAGCTAATTGTGCTGCGAGGTCAGTGTATATTTCCCAAAACCGCAGTTATGGTTATGGTTTTAACTAACATGCAATGCGATTACTACTTCAGTTATTACAGATTCACAGTTTCTCATTAGACTGTACACAGTAGAGACAACGAATGCATTAATTGCTGCCTAGGTTTTATCTGATCTTATCTTGATGGCTATTTGGCATATATAATCCGGATAATTGATACACAAAAATTTTAAATAAACTGAATTTATTACTTTCCTTCTCTTTTATCGACAACCGTTTTTAATAGTAATTAAAAAGCAAAGCAAGTATAGTATAATCCAAATTCAACTTCGATCGTCTGGAAGGATCCCGCCAGCAAGACTGAGAATGAATGACAAGAATGAATGAAACGAAAATACTTGCAAACCTGAAAAATGCTTTTAATTTTCAAAAAATATGTATGCATTTATAACTAACACGGTTAAGTGCTACAGGCGCTTATTGCTCAGTTTCTTGTCCCAGTAGTTTTGTTTGTCACAAACCAAAAACTTTGACCACTTCTCGAACGCACACTCGAATTTTAGCTTCTTCTAACATTATAGCGGAAGAAAACTACGAGTTAAAGTTGTTATAATTTCATTTTACCAAAATAGCTACTGTTGTAAGGTTTCACACTGTAGACTGCGGTAAGAATGGAGCGCGTTTAGCAAGTCTTTCCATCGCAAATTTTGCCTCAGAAAAATATTTGTTTTGAAGCACTGTATTGTATTAGAAATGCCTCTCAAGCTCTTCCGTTTTCCAAATTTCAGTCTCGTTTTTTATTATTACAAAGGAACGTTCTCGAGTTTATTTAAGGGTTCTATACTGAAAAAGTCAATAGAGAAGTTCGGGATGTAAAAAGTGATAACAATCAGTACCGTCACGCACGCATGATATCAAATGGAAGACAATAGCCCCACTAAACAAGCAAATGAAACGAGAACATGTTGAGCAAACAAGAGGGCTAATCGAGAGCGACAGTTTACGTCATGAGAGGTGAGAAAGCAATTAAATACAACCTTGAATACTTAATATACAACTTATTTTATAATTATGCTATAGACAACTGACTTTACGCATGTCCTTTTCTAAGCAAACATCAAAGAATAAGGTTTATTTCGAAAAAAATAATTGTAAGTACCACTCAAGACTTTGAAAATCATATCCTCTTCAGAGACACAATGAGGCCAAATAAGGGAGTACCCCCTTGGTAGTCTGTTCAAACAATAACTACAGGCTTGCTAGTTAGTAAGGACTCAACCCCACAAAAATATCTTTTAGAGTCGCTTTATAAAGGAAAATTGAACCTCCCTTGCCTTTTGTGACCAAGTCGGGTTGATATCATTATTTTATTGTAAAGACTTTGTGTGCGTTAACCCAATTGATTATATTTAATGTGTAATTTCCAAACGAAAGCATTACTCACGGCAACAAGTTGAAAGTTTAAAACTGTCTTCCAGTACGATAGAAAATAAATCAAGAAAACCTCATTTTTTCTATCTCATCAAGCACTGATCGAATGTTAGATGGTTGTATTAACGTTGCCAAATACTAAATTATGTATTTGTCAATAGATTTCCAAAATACGGTTTTTAAAAAAATCACGACTGAGTTATACTAACAAATTTTGTTTAGAATATTTTCAAAAGGTTTCGCTCTATTAAATGAAGGTTGAAAGCCTTTATGGCAGTGTTAGATCTCACTTTAGGGAGAATTAAGTTCTGTTCACTTCCCCTAGTGTTGTGGATGCTCTTACTAACAATGTTATCAATTTCAATAAACTTACATTTGTGATGATTTAGTGACGAAAACTTTAGAAGTGGCTGTATTCCAGTCAGAAGGACCTTTAGCATAGTCAAAAATACCTAATAAGATTTGTTACCTATGTAATTCATGTTCCCAATTAGGTATGGAGTTGTTTTGTTAATTAGTGAATTCATTACAAAAAAATCTGCTATAAAATCTGCTGCAAAAACGTCGACGTCGTCGGCGTGTGATTTAGTCTAACTTCATGTTGAACTCGGAACAAAAACTAAACGCAGGAAGTTAAAAATCCTAACAGCACTAAATAGTTTTTGGATGAAGAAATTTTCAGTCAATATTTAATGTTCATTATCAATCAGCCCAACAGTAATAATCAATTTATAGTAAACAAAAACTTGTTAAAACACGAACAAAGAATCAACAGAAAGGAAGAAAACGCTGTTGTTAAACTAACGTGGCCTATGTTACTTACAACGACCAACTCGAGCAGAAAAGAGTTCACAGGTAACAAATTTTCCAGCTTTTTTCAAGTCCTTTGAGTCTGTTTTTTTTCTCTTCGTATCGGTAATTTGCGCTTCCTAACGATTCATAGTGATCGGGAATTGTTTTGAGGCTTTTCATGCAATGCGAGTACCCAAACGGACTGGAAAATCTCACTTTACTCGCAATGAATTCGCGAACTGGACTGTACCTTAAAAAAATAAGAGGAGTTACAATTTTTCTAGTTGATCGGAGAGTCTTTCAAAATCTTTTTCTCGAACGTAGTAAAGTTTGAAAATATATATATCCTAGGGTGCGTTTTCTTAAAAGCGACGAGGGGCACAGAAATAGCTGCGACTGAGTAAGAAGGTGACTGTTTTCTGTAAAATATCTGTTCGGAGAAGCAAATATTGCCTATAATTTCTTATTACTTTAAGACGGCTAAAAATAAAAATTTCCAGATGACTGTACCATGTACAATTTTCGAAGCTTATCTGATAAATCCCTTGCGATTTTCTATAGTTAATTTTTCAACTTTCACTCCTCGGGTTGGGCCATTTTTTGTTGAAAAAAGGAAACCTAAAATTTTGGGATTCAAAAATCTAATTAAGAAAGGCATTAGTAAAATTCCCACTTTGGTAATACGTTAAATTACATCTAAAATTTTTGGTAAAATAAACTGAGGTCCTTATAATTTCGAAAGAGCTCAAGTTCCTCTAGGATGACCGAATAGATACATTTTAGATCATTTTATAGCTCCGGTTAAAAATGCATTTCTAGCTATCTAAAAGTACTCTGAATTATAGCCTAAAAAGTCTTTCCAATGTAATTGAGAGGAAACCGTCGTTGGCTGCCCCTAGACTAAGTTCACGATAAATTGAAAACTGAGAGTTTTAATTAAAGTTCAGGATTCAACTACATTTAGCTTTTATGAGGGTCTTCTTCAGGCAAACTTTAAACACGACACTTTAAGAAAACTAATGGTAGGATTTGTTTCACCATTTAATTGATTTTATTTCTGATTTTATTTTCCAACTTCGCCTTCAGAAAAACCCTTAAAAAACCGACACGATGAGTACAGCTTGTAAAGTTTCTCTGGCTCTGTTGTGTTTATTTGCTGTTGCGTCATTCTTGGTCTTGACAGCCGTGGCGGGCAACAAAACCAAACAAACCTCGAGCAATATGGTGAGTCAATTAACTTTCTGCGCGGGACCATGCCTGATACAACCGGAACAAATGATAGCGCAAAAACTTCAAGAACAGAACTTTACATTTTGCGCAATCCAATAACTGCTAAAGAGTACTTTTCTGCGAGTATTTATCTCTCGGTCGACGTGAAGGAATGTCTAAACAATGGATCGCACCTTTCAAAAATCGTGAAAATCGTGATAAGGTTGCAAAGCTCAGAGATAAATGTGTAACTGTTTCAATTTAAATTCCGATAATTTAGAAAAAACTGTTAGTAACAATTCATAATAAATGACGACAACTACTACTAAACCCGGATATGGGAGAGGTTCCTTTCAAAAATAGAATAGTTTCCATGACTTTAACAAAGTCTCGCTCTTTTTCAGCACAAATAATTTAGAAAGAGGTTTTAGGAAAGTTCTTAAATCCATTAATATCAACTAACTTCGTGTCTCGATTAAATTGTATGTCTTGACCGTATATCTAACTCGATCTAACGATGCGTTAATGTAAATTTTCTCCACAACACTTAACACAACGAGCAAAATAGAGTTGGGAAACAGGAAACGAAGGGGTAAAATATTTTAAGGTTATTTGCAGACATTATGAGATATTCGTCAGAACGTTTTAGGGGTTTATTTTCCGAAAGGCTAGTGGGGGAAAAGGAAGGGGGTTAAATTGTTTAAAGTGTGTCATAAAGGCACACTACTTTTATTTCTTTTTCTTTTTTTTTTTCCCTAGAGGTGGCTAAGCATCGCCGATGAGACTAAATCACCGAGGGAGTTATTTTGCTCAACGCACAATAACACTTTTTAAAGTAACTTTTTGTTTCTCTCTCTAGCAATCTCCCCCATTCTGCGGGTCTGGTGGTATTCCAGGCATGCACGGGTTACCAGGCCGTGACGGACGTGATGGCCGACAAGGAGCGAAAGGTGACCCGGGAAGCCCGGGAAAGACTGGGCCTAGGGGACCTGCTGGTGTAAATGGAAAAGAAGGTGTCAAAGGAGAGCCTGGTGTACAGGGCCCACCTGGTCCAAAAGGGGAGCGTGGACAAAGTGGACATCCTGGGAACCCAGGTCTGATGCCTTTTAAGAACTGGAAAGAGTGCGCATGGAATAAATTGAACGATAACAAAGACAATGGTTTAATAAAGGTAAAGGTTAAAAGATTTACAAATGATATTTAATATTACATAGCAAAGTTTACTTTTATAACCAAATGATTTGTCTATTCAAAGTTATTTCCTGCATATTTTATAGGAATGTGTCTTCACCAAGAACTTTTCTGACACCGCTCTTCATGTGGCCTGGACTGGTGCCCTTAGAATCTACAAGTGTACAGGCTGTTGCAAACGCTGGTACTTCACTTTCAACGGCGCAGAGTGTTCAGCTCCCTTGCCCATTGACGGTATTGTGTACATGTGGCAGGGCAACACTCAAAGTCTTCACCGAGTCCGCCATATTGAGGGGCACTGTAACAACATCCACAAAGGAAAGGTGCGCGTGGGATTCTGGGTTGGTAATTGTCCGAGTGAAAAACCTGGCGACGCCTACACAGGCTGGCAATCTGTGTCCCGGATCTTCATTGAAGAAGTTCCTAAGGCTCAGGCCTAGATACCGAGGCAAAACATTCCTTTCTGCAAAGAAAAACACTTGTCAGCTTTTTAATCAAGGGTGCATGCGCCCGCACTACTATAGGTTACTAGCAGATGGATTGTGATAGTATAAGTAATGTGTAAACATAGTTGATTAAAAATGCAGGATGCTTTCAAATGCTGTGTTTGTGCTGATCTCCCATTACATGCTACTTTTTGACTATAACGCAAAGCTTGCATTTTCGGCCTATTACTATTGCTTTCTTCTTTCTAATTAAAAGGGGAGTTAAAATTGTCTCGACTTATTGAGAAATTCTATGAAAAACGAATCCATAAGAATTTTAACAGATTTAAAAATTGTCTTCATGTATTTGAGTTTAAAAGGTTTTTTTTTTTTTACGGTTTCCTAAATTCTCCCTGTTGCTGTTGCACATAACAGGAAAATCGTAAAAGGAGTTTTCCTCTTCGAATCTTTTTAGTGGGACCTTAAAAATGTCGCCAGATGAATCAAAGTTAATTAGAGGGGAATGGTTGGGAAACCCTTTGTTGTATGTTTTTGTTACCTTTTTTGGATCTAACCGTGTACAACGTTCAATTATAGTATTCCTATCTTTTTGAACTTACTGACCAATAGAAACATTCCATGAATTTATTCAGTCACAATTCTTGACCAAAAAACAAAGGATTGTGCACGGTCAGGGCTTCCAACATAAACTGCAGCACCATTGATTTCAACTTTGATGTTTTCCGGCTTTCCTAACCAGTCTCCTCTTCTTACTATGGCTGAATCTACCTGGCTGCATTTGCGGCTGCTAAAAAGATATTTCTCATAGCATCCCCCCTTAAACTCCGAGCCGTCGTGCAAACACTAGTTCGAGATAATCTGGCCCGAAATCAACACCCCGACTGCCCCCTTTCAAATATTTACATTTGTCGTTTTCAATCACACGGCACAAAATCTCCTGTTTTCTGGTGATTTTACCAAACGGTTAATGGATTGAAAATGCCACGTTCACGATCCGTTTTCTCATTTCGGAATTCGCAAGGAAAACTCGGCGTTCACAATCCGTTAACACCAGGAAAATATGCTGTTTACTTCACGTTTTCCAGCACACGGAAAACGTGGTTGAACAGTGCGCTTTCTCTCGTTAACCGGACATTTTACCAAACGGTTAATGTAAGGAAAATATCGCGTTCGTGACTTCGCCCCATGTAAGGGAATCCAGGACAGTCTTAGATTCTGGATTCCATGCTGTGGATTCCGGATCCCGGGTACTGGATTCCGGATTCCAAAAAGAGGTGGATTCCATTTTTTTCCCGTTTTAACGCTTTTCTTCGCACTTCGTTTTCGTGTTCGAATCTTGCTATATTACAAGACGTTGTTAGAAGGCATAACAAGTTTGTTTTCTTTTTCGATTTACAAAATTACTAGCCTCCCACGCAGACGTTCTTAGGGGTTCGTCACGCGTTCCCGTGACGAACCCCTAAGAACGTCTGCGTGGGAGGCTACAAAATTACGGGAAGAAATGTATTACAGTTCCCTAAGGGTTTATCGTATAATAATGAGGGGAACATTGGGGGACTGTCTACACCGCAGAAAAAAATAACAAACACTGCATCACCGCAAAAAAACGTAGCGAAACACCGACATTGCAATTTAAAGTTTTGTCCTACGATTAATCTAATCGAAATCTCCATGTAATTAGGGATGGAGGATCTCGGAGCTGGTTAGTGATTGGTAGAGAGTGAGACTGACCTCAGGACTCTATTTTTCACTTAATTTACTTTTGTGAACTCTATTTTAAGCCATGCAGATAGAAAAATGCATGCAACGCCTAGATTTCGCCAGTTATCCTTTTGTTTTGAAGTCTTTTTGCATAAAAAGACCATACAGATCATCCTACGCTCCGGGTATGAAAAAGCAGTGAAATATTTATTATTTAATCAATTTTAACCGACGTTCCTAGGAGGGTGGAACTTGTTTTGGCTTGTTTTGGGTCGTTGTGGATCTTTTGTCGATTATTTTTTATCATTGTGGATCGCTTAGGTCGTTTTGTCTCTTTTTGCCTGGTTTCTCGTTTTATTAGTAACTGGCCAAATGAAAATACGCTATGGCGTGTGCAATTCCTTCTTTGCAAAGTCTTTGGTTCTGTTCACTAAAGAGTAGTTTTCCGTCTCAATAAAACTTGGAAAACCATTTTTATCTTATCCTTTAAGACTTTTTAAAACTCTCTCTCTCTCTCTCTCTTGAAGAGGGTAAAAAATTCTCGCGTAGAAGTTGACGCGTACTGCTTTGAGGTTTTAGCGCGCGCAATTATAATGAAATTCAAACTAACTGTTGGGTTGAATTTGATGTTAAAAAGAGCAGAAACAACAAAAAATTAGTTGGTTCAAACTTAGGATGTGCGTATAACCACGTTTTGTTAGAAAAAAACTTCAAGGCTCTTTCAAATTCGCTGTTTAAGACGTCGAAAATTGAGGATTTATTTCGAGCATGCGCTCTTTCATCGCTTGTCACATTCCTGACAGGCAATAATCGAATTTGACCAGATCTCGCCTTCGGCTTCGTCAATAAGAGATCTGGGTCTCTGAGATGGTCTGGGGTCTCTAGGATCCATTTCTAACAAAAAAAAAAAGTTACGGGCGAAACTGATCTCAGATCGGTCTAATTTCCAAAAGCGACCTCAATGTGAACGAGGCCTATTCAGGAGCACAACTGTAGAAACATAACATGAAAAATCCGTCTGTTCCTCGACCGAGTCTGAGATGACTGCGAGATGAAGAGGGACTTGAGCGTTTCTGACGCGTTGGCTCGTTTTAAGCGTTTTACAACCATATAGCGCTCATTTATACGATATTTTCTCCACGGACGACGTAAACTTCATATCACATTCAATTATGATTGAGAAAAAAATCAATCTTTCGTTTATGTTTGTGACTCGCTTACCGCCAAGTTACAGTCCGGAGATCGACACATACGAAATACCATGCAGCTTTGCCTTTGGCACGTTTAGATCTATCAGTCAGCTAAAAATAGGTATAAAATTTCACAACACAGTATTACACGTACCTTTCTCTCCCAACCTTTTGTTTTTGCTTGTGCTTTCCCATAACGTTTTTTTTTTCTTTTTTAAGAAAGTAGAAAAGAAAAATCCAACAGACAAAAAACTTCAAAAGGCTTGCCTCATCGATGAGGTGGCGAGATTTCACTCGAATGCCGGGGATGAATGAAAAAGACACCCACCGCGTCCTTGCACGTGATTACTTTAGTGACAGCTGATTGGTACGGTTCTGACAGTACCTAGCTTATTTCTCAAATAAAGATTATCGAAACCATGAAACTGTTCTCACCGAAACTACTAGGACCAAATCAGGGACTAGGAGACTGTGAATTTCTTTTTTTCTTTTTTGGTAAAATGTTGAAAGTGGACGTTTATTTTCAATTGTGAACCAGGAGGCCCAGGAAGGTTCAAGAAAAGGTTCACCCCAGGTGCACCCTTTCCGGTCCTATGCCAGGTCAAATCGCTTTTGATTTTTTAAGTTCAGCGAAGCGAGTGAACAACAGAGAATCAAAAATAGCTAGCGGTTAAAGCTATTCACAACAATCCAATTTATACCTTAAAAAAGCTGCGCTGTATTCCCTCGAAAACCCCCGAATTTTGTGATCCTGCCAGCCGCTCATAGGCAAGGGTTCCCTCGCTGACCGTGACCTTGACCTTTCATATGGAGCTCGTGAACTATGGTTTTGACACCAGATATGCCGATATTACACTGTATGTCATCAAGTTGAGGCATACACTCTGGGGAGGCTTTCCATAGATGGTTTTTGTTTCGAGCGAGTCGCTCAATCCAATCTGGAGTGGATCTTTAGTAAGTTGGATTCTGGATTCCAATCTTTAGTAGGATTCCGGATTCCTAGTGCTGGATTGAGCGAGCTGGATTCCAAAGCCCAGGATTCCGGATTCCACAAGCAACAAATTCCTGGATTCCGGAATCCGGATTCCCTTACATGGGGCGAGTGACTCGTTTTCCAACTTCGGAAAAGACAAGGACAACTTGGCATTCACCATCACTTAACAGAGGGAAAATATGCTGTTCATGTCACATTATCCAGCACATGGAAAACGGGGTTGAACAGCTCGTTTTCTCTCGTTAACCGGAAATTTTACCAAACGGTTAATGTCGTGAAAATATCACGTTCCTAAATCCTTTTCCGACTTCGGGTAACACAAGGAAAACTCCCGGGAAAACTCAACATTCACCGGCGGTAACACCAGGAAAACATGCCGTTCATTTCACGTTTTCTAGCACCTGGCAAACGCGATTCAATAGTGCGTTTTGCAACTCATTTTACCATCGTTATCAGCAACGTGTAAACAGGCCGTTGACCGCCGTGTTTTATTTGGGTCCAAACATTTCCTGCCAAGAATTCCCTCAGCTTTATTTTGATTATCTTACCAGCAACAACTTTGTCAAGAAACCGGTGTCTGTGAATATTACAACGGAAATTGACTTCTCAGTAATCTCAGTTCAGCAGATTCTGAATACGATAAGACTTATTAGAGGTCTGTCGTAATCGTCGTTGTTTTTGAAACAAACTCAAGGCATGCAAAATGCATTCAGAGGCTTCTCTTATTTCTGCCGCGAGGCAGCTAAAGATCCTAGAGAAAACGCAATGGAACAGACCATTTCTGTTTCCCTAGTAACCGGGCTCGTAGCCTCGACATCATGAGTGACACAAAAGAACAAGATCACATGACCTCAAAGTCCGCGTTTCTTTCGTGTGAGAAAAAATTTTGTCACATTTCGAAGAAGGCGGCGGGAATTTCGAGTTTTTGTTGTTTTGCTGCCATGTCCGCGGTCGATCTTGGCCAAGAAATCTCTCTTTCGGACCGTTACTTCTTGTTATTACAAGCCACGATTAAGGGAAGCAAGGTTTTGAGGGCGCAAGTGGCCGAGAGAACGGAGAAAGAAGAGGACGTCAACAGACTTACCGTTAAGCTGTAGACGAGCTGTGTG